TGGGGACGGCGGCTTTGAGTCCGCGACCGAGGGGATCCGCGGCCTTCAGCAAGCTGTTGATGTTCGGCTTCTTGGCCAGTCTGACGAGCTTCTTGCCGGTATCGACGAGTTCAGCGACCCCGGCTGTTGCGTTGACGGCGTCTTGGATGACCAGATTGAGGTTATGACAGAAACAGCTCTGCCACCCTCGTCCCTTCCCCTGGAAGGCGAGTCGATTATTGGCCGCGTTGTCCGTGACGAACTTGATGTGCTCGCCGTCCCGCCAGCAGCCCACAGCCTCGAGAGTCTGCCGCATGGCCGCGAAGATGTTGGCTCCAGTGTGGCGCTCCGACATTGGCTTGGTGCCAATCACCCTGGTCTGAAGCTGCCAGTTCTTGTCTATGTAGGACACGTTGATGGTGTTGTAGGAGGTGGACGTCTTCTTGTCTGTCCAGAGGTCGGTACTGGCGGCGATGTGCGGCTGCTCGGAGACCTCAACCCTCAGCCGGGCACGGACGACGGCCGCTCGTTGCTCCGTCTCCTTGGCGACAGTGTTTCGCCCAGGGAGCACGTGGTCGACATCAATGCGACCGTGCTTGGCGCCCAGGTCTACCAGGAGCTGAGCAGCCTTCCGGAACCCTCGACCCGCCAAAACCCAAAAACAAGCAAAATATTACAAATGAGTTGGTAAAATGGCACACAACGACTAACGAAGTTGATTGCAGCATTTCTTTCGCTACATCAACTTAGCCGTTACTCTAAACTGGAAACTAATATCATGCTACCTCATGATGAAGTGAGTAAATATGTTACCAAGTTGTATCACAGCACAATACTGTCTTACAGTTGAGCCTTGTTTGAATAGGGGAATTAAATCGTTTTTTTTAATTAGTCATCCTTCGATACAGCAAGAGACGTCTGCATCCAGTAATTTAATCACAAATCCTTTCTGGATACGCCGGTACCTATTTATTAACAAAGAACCAAAAATGTGTCGCAGAAGAAATGGCACTGATTTCAGAAATAATCTGCAGGTGGATCCTACCCTACCTACCTTCTACCAGGTTGAAAGGTCGGAGGTCTTCAGAGCTGACGTCGCTTAAAGCCGTCGCCACTCGCTTCTTTTCAGCTCGCAGTAAGCCCTCCGGTACCTCCTTTCTCAAAAGAGAGGTTATCTGCGGCTGACTTTGGTTCACAGGACAAGAGTGCTTCTTAACCCGCGCCCGGCTGGGGGTCCTGGATTTCCACGCCCTGCTGGGGGGGGTGTTTGAACACCCCCCCTTGTAACTCGGCTCCTGGGCCACGTAGCGATACGCGGAAGGCGGCGTTCGAAAGAGCGTCAAAAATAATGACGAAATCACTTCGGTCAATTTTTTGGTCAGGTCAAAGGTCAGGTCACCAGAGGTCATTGAAGGCAAAATTTCGCCGATTTCCAGGTCGAATGTCGAAAATTTCCAAGAAGCCAACGCATAACTCGGGAACCAATAGAGCTACAGCGCCGCGGAAAAGCGCATTCGATAGCCCTATTAACGCCCTTTCTGAGTAATTCTCTCAGATTTGACCTAACGTCAACGGTTTTGCCTGCAGGGGGCAAAAACTGCAAAAATAGCCGATTTTTTCGGAAACAGTTTTTCTGCAATAACTTTTGACCCAAGCCTTGTACGAGCTTACTTTCACCGGCATCGTGTTCCTCTCGTCAAGACGCATCGAATGAACTATAACTTGACCTTGAAAGGTCAACTTGAAAATTTGACCTCAGGTCAAGGTCATGACCTGACCGGAAAGGGTCATGTTGCATATCGGTCGATCCGTATCGTCGAGCTGAACACATCTAAGGCGTTTTCATTGCTCTAGCATGCCTCTATCAAAAGTTATTTGCGAAAAACTGTTAGATACCATTCGTGACCTAAGATGACCTCAGGGCATAAACAAGGGTCACAGACACCATTTTCATGTTCAGTGTGTCTAAACCACTTGTAATTCGGTGTTTGGGAGTGTTTATAATGTCTTTCATCCAAAAGAGGCGCATTTCAATTTTCTCCCATTGACTTATAATGGGGAGGTCGCAAAATTGACCTGACCTTAGGTCATCGATATCAAAATTCTGAGATATACATTTTGTACATGCTATTGCTCTTAGCAATCGCTGAAAGTTTCAAAGCGATCGGTCACTCGGTGTAGCTATGACAGACATTGAAACTTTTTATGAGGTGAGGTCACTTCAAGTGACCTGGTGACCTGACCTTGAATGACCTTGGTCTACAATTTTCACAACATGTGCAGAATTGATGTATGATAAGGTGTACCAAAAACGGCGGCGCTCCGCGCCGCCGTTTTTGAGATATTCGCGAAAAACCACAGGGGGGGGGGTGTTCAAACACCCCCCCAGCAGGGCGCGGGTTAAGGTTAGAGGTGCCCGACGACCTCCCAAAGCTACCGTCGTACGCGGACCCAGTCCTATGTGGCAACACGATCCCACAGCTCTTACATTTAACGGCCTGACAAACTCTCCCGTCCAAACGTACTCGTACGAAACGTCGCCACAACGTGCTGTTGCAAGAGGGACCCGAAACGCCTGCTGCAAAGGAAATCCTACCGCTTTCCGAGTTAACCAGACGTTCAAGAAGCTTGATATCTTCTCTAGTTGCAGGAACTGACTCTGCCATAACTGCTGCAGCTCGCCAGCGTGTTGCACCTGAGGCAAGCCGAAAATAACCTTTTACAAGCTGTTTAGGCACATAAGAATAAGAAACGAAGAAATGAAGTCGTACGCTAGAAATTCGGCTGAATGCACGCGGTAATTGTATATTTTTTAATACAAACGTGACAAAAATTGTTTTGAGACCGTCAATTGCATTTACACTTATCACAAGGAACTAGGAAGACTTCTGAGTATTGTATCCCACGAAAATGACTGGAAATCGGTTAAAAAAACAGCTCGTAGGTACTGACAAATTGCAATGCTGTAAAAAAATAAGTTATTTGAACTTGGCAAAAAATTGATGGGAGAATAAAGGGAACTTTTTAAGTGTCTTCTTCAAAGCAAATCAAATGAAGCACCAATCATCAAACGTATACAAAACCGGATATGAGTGTACTAGACTTACCTTCGCTCTCAACGTGCCTGTAACCGCCACTGCGCACTGACATTGACTGGTAAGAGGTCAGGGCGCGACCCTGACATCGAATTTGAATTCGCGCCAATTCAAGTACCTTTATTATTCAAATTTCAAATAGTGTTTCACGACAGATTTCCTGAAATTGCTACACAAATCTACGCTTAGATGAAGCATTTTTTATTTTAAAAAAAATAGAAGAAAATAAAACATGTTTTTATTTGAACACGACAGTTGAAAAATCTTCTCCAACCGCCAATTTCAATTTTTGAATGGTCTTGGAATAGGAACAAATTGAAGGTGACCTTTGATTTGCGACCTTGATAAGGTCATATTTGGGTCATATCTTTCAAATATATTAATTCTTCAAACCACAATTGAAAAAAATCAAATAAAATAGCAAGAATAAATCATGCCTAAATTAAACAGCTAATAAATAAAACAATGGAATAAAAAACCTTTTTAATAAGTCAAGCCCCTGTTTCAATGACCTGCACAAAATGTCAGTAAAATAAGGGCTATTGTAGCCAGTAGACATTTACTGCGCGCGTGCTTTTGTGACGCGCTCACTTCCAGCGTGGCGGTGCGTCGATATTATTGTGGGATTCAGCAAGCTGTAATATTATTTTAAATAATGTAGATTTTAGGCTGGCGGGACTAAATATGTTTTCCGTTTGGTGTATTTTCCTGTGCCATTACTATGCCCTTTGTCAATTTGTGTAACCAAGTGCACTTTTTATGGACAGCCACATTGTATTTCTTGCAAGAATTGGAAAGCTTGTGAGTATCTTTGCTCAACAATCAATGCACTTTTGCAATAGGTTCACACAGAAAGTGCTCATTATTTTTCCATTCAATAGCTACTGTATTTGTGAGCCAATTATTATGTAAAATGCCCCATGTGCCCATTGACTTATGTTTTGATCGCACCATTGAGTACTTTTTAAATATTTGTCTATGTTTTGTTAATGAAAGATACTCCTAGTTTTCTCTGCAACAGATTTGCATTATTTCTCTGCATATATTATGTGTTTTGTATTTCAATGGAAATGACTGACTGAATTTGAGAAAGCAAAGATTTTTCCAAGTAGTTTTTTAGGAAACGAAAAATGTAGTTTTTGAAAAAAATAAGCTTGATTGATATTCTGATACCGACAAAATACCAAATGTTTTTGGTATGTTTTACCGAATACCGAGTCGGTATCGGTTCGGTGTTGGTATACCGAAATTTTGGTAACCGATTGACACCACTAGTGCGTACCGCCCCAGCAAGCTGCCTGGGAGCGCCCGTGCGCAGCCCCGAGACTGCCTGGACTCGCCCGTGCGTCGCCCGGGGCGGGACGTGACCAGACTGGGTCGGTCGCGCGGCGCGCGGCCCGCGCCAGTGGGCTGGCGGAGTGTGCGGGGCGCGGGCGGAGTGAGCGTGACGGACTCGGACTCTGAGACGGACCGATCGCAGACGGACTGGACGGGGCCCGTCTGCAGGAGACGACTACGCGTGTGCCGGTGCGTCTACATTAGTCTTCACTCCAAGTAAGTCCCACTACTTGCGATTACAAGCTATTTCGGCTCTTCAAGATGTCGACTTCAGCGCCGGGTACTTCTGGAACTTCATCTATGGTCTCTGTGAGTGTGACGACCGCCGTTCCATCGACGATGCTGAGTGTGACGTCGTCGGTGACCGGGCCGCTGACGTCTGTCTCTGCCGTGCCGTTTCCCATGCAGCCTTCGGCTCCTGTGGCTGCAATGAGCTTCGATGCCAGACTGATTCCCGAGTTTGATGGATCTACTGATGTTGTAGAGTGGTTCACGCGAGCAGAGATGCTCTGTCAGCTGAGGGGGGCTGCACCGGAGTCTCACCTGCCGCTGAGATTAGCCGGGGACGCATTTGTTGTTTGGCAGGGGATGGAGTCGCAGCATCGGTTCTCCCTGGACGCGATAAGGCAGGCTCTCTACGCAGCTTTTGCGCTGGATCAGTTCGCTGCCTTTGAGCGTTTTGAGTCCCGGAGGCTGGAGGCTGGGGAATCCCCTGATGTGTATCTTGCCGACCTTCGTCGATTGGCCGAGCTGTTCGGCGGCATGCCGGACAGATCGTTGGTGTGCAAGTTTGTAGCTGGTTTGCCTGAGCCGGTGCGTCACACCGTCCGAGCCAGCTCGCGCGCCGACTCGCTTGACTTGACCGCTGCATTGGTCATGACGAGGGCGCTGTTGAGTGATGGACGGGCGCAGCTCGCGGCGGCAGGTGTGGCAGATCGTCGCCGTCTGAGATCGACGATGCCATCTCAGTCGGGGACTGGGATGCCGTCTGAAAGACCGGCCGTCGAGGCCCATGCTGCAACCGCTGCGACTGTGCCAGCAGGTGTGCGGCGCCGCAGGCGGTGCTGGACCTGTGGAAGTGTCGAGCATCTGGCGGCCGGCTGTCCCCGACGCTCGGGAAACTTGGCAGGGGAGGACGCGTCACAGCCGGCGTCCTCTCCAACTCGACACTGAGCGGCGTGCTGCCAATCACACGGCTGTTGGTGGATGGTCATTGCCGAACTGCGCTGGTCGATTCAGGGTGCACTGATAATATTATCCATCTGTCGTGCTGTGAGCGTTTTGTTAAACGCTCTGTGACCGTGACGACGGTGGGCGATGAGAAGCTCTCCTGCAACGGTGTGGGTCGAGTCACCGTGGAGACATCGTCTGGACAGATGGCGGAGATTTCGGTGCTGGTGATGGAAAAGGAACCTTTGGGAGTGGACATGATCCTCGGCATGGACGGGATCTCAGCTCTGGGTGGAGTCAGCGTCAGGTCCCCGACAGAAGTAGTGTTCTGCGGTGTCGCTGTTGCGTTGGAGGCCGATCTTTCTGTCGATGCCCCTGACTATAAAGTGCAGTTCGACCGGCGGGAGCAGACCTGGAAGGTGTCCTGGAAGTGGTCCGCTGGTTCCGCCCCAGAATACTTGAAAAATCAGGTCGCGATGTACAATATTCCTGAAGGCATTCGTGCGGACTTTGACGGAGAGCTTCGTCAGTGGGTGGCGAACGGCTGGCTGGTTCGGTACGATGAGTCGCGGCTTGGACCTCCACGTGGACTTATTCCGTTGATGGCAGTCAATCAGCCTAACAAGCAGAAGGTTCGCCCCGTAATGGACTACAGAGAGCTCAACTCGCACATCACGGCTCACACAGCTGTGGCCGACGTCTGCGCTGAGCAGTTGAGACGCTGGCGCAGACGCGGAGAAAATGTGGCCGTCGTTGATCTTCGCAGAGCGTACTTGCAGCTGCACGTGGACGAGCGTTTGTGGCCCTTCCAGACGGTGATGTTGGATGGTGAGCGCTTCTGTCTGACGCGGATGGGATTCGGTCTCAGCGTAGCGCCGGAAGTGATGCGTGCCGTCGTGAAGATGATTCTGGAGCAGGACCCACTGGTGGAGCGTGGAGTCTTGGGCTTTGTGGATGACCTGCTCGTGGACGAATCGGTCGTCGATGCCGAGTACGTTATCGATCACTTCCGTCGGTTTGGCCTAGATTGTAAGCCGCCCGTGCGAGTAGCTGACGGCGCGCGTGTCTTGGGCCTGCGTGTGTCCAGTGGACACGATGGACTGCAGTGGGCCCGAGACAGTCCGGTCGAGGCTCCCCCTGCCAGACTGACCCGGCGTGCCGTGTTTTCCTGGTGCGGCAAAATCGTGGCCCATTTTCCAGTGTGTCGCTGGCTGCGCCCCGCGGCTGCGTTTCTCAAGCGCAGGGTGAACGGCCTGACGCGTGGGTGGGATGACGAGGTCGAAGATGACGCTCTCCGGGATCAGATGCAGGATGTTTCGACGCGGATTGCGGAATGCGATCCGGTCCGTGGGCCGTGGTGTGTGAGCGGCCATGCTGCAGTCGTGTGGGTAGACGCGAGCTCTCTGGCGGAAGGAGTGGTGATCACGACACCAGAGGGCTGCGCGATCGAGGACGCCAGTTGGTTGCGACGAGACGAGAGCTCGCACATTAACCTCTCGGAGCTAGATGCCGCAGTCCGAGGTTTAAACCTTGCCGTGGCATGGGGGATGAAGGACGTCGAGCTACGCACGGACTCTGTGAATGTTCACCGATGGCTCAGTGACGCACTGACCGGACGCGCGCGGCTCCGTACGAAGGCGCAGAGTGAGCTGCTGATCCGGCGGAGGGTCGGCATCGTCAGGCAGCTTGTTGAGGAGCTGTCCCTCAGTGTCTCTGTGACGCTGGTGCGTTCCTGCGAGAATCGTGCCGATGCGCTGACACGTGTGCCGGGAGAGTGGCTCCGTGCTGATCATCGCACAACTGTGGCTGCTGCCGTGGTCGTGCCCGCTGGAGAGACTCTATCAGCTGCAATCAGGGACGTTCACGAGAGAGCTGGTCATCCCGGCGTTCGCAAAACACTGTATTTTGCGCGCCGAGATGTGACGAGGAGCGTCAGGCGTGCCGACGTGCAGCTGGTGGTGTCCCGGTGTGACATCTGTCAGTCCATTGATCCGGCGCCCGTTCAGCTACCGCATGGGTCTCTCGAGGTGCGCGGGCTGTGGGAGCGCCTGGCGATCGACATCACGCACTATCAGACTCAATCGTACCTGTCACTTATCGATTGTGGTCCATCGAGGTTTTGTCTATGGGGCCTGCTGCGCCGTCCAGACGCTGAAGCTGTGACCGAGTTCCTGAACAGAGTTTTCTGTGAACGCGGTGCGCCGTGTGAAATACTCTGCGACAACGACACAGTTTTCCGCGGGCATCGGTTCGCGGCGTTTGCGGCAAAATGGGGCATTGCGCTGCGATTCAGAGCAGCGTATGCTCCAGCTGGTAATGGCATCATCGAGCGTAACCACCGCACTGTAAAGGTGATTGCTGCTAGGAAGAGGTGTTCCATTGAGGAGGCAGTGCACATCTACAATATCACGCCACGGGACGGAGAGAATGAAGAGGAGTCACCTGCAAGTGGCGTCTACCGATACCGTGTGCGAGATTGTGTGCAACACGCTGACCGCTCGCTCGAAGGTGCAGCGGAGGATGTGCACCAGCCTGTGAGAGGCTTGGTGGCCGGCGAGCCGGTGTGGGTCCGCCAGCAGGGCTCTCGATGCACAGACAGGTCACGGCCGGGCGTCGTAACCGCCGTGCTGTCACCATGGGTGGTAGAAGTGGACGGGGTACCACGTCACGTCAAAGATCTGCGGCGGCGGCAGGCAGTCTCTCCGCACCGTGATGGAGCGGCTGCACAGCGAGGCGTGACGCGGTGCTCCGCCGGGCCTGCGGTTGATGATCCGCCGTTGCTCATCACTACGAGCGTCGCGGCCCCCGACTCGGCGGCCATCGTGGCCGGCGACCCGGCTGTGGCGGTTGGTGGAGCGCCGGGGAGTGTGGCGACTGTAGCACCCGCGGCATCTTCTTCTGGCACGTCATCGGCCGTGTTGACACCGGCGGCCGTTGGAGCGGCGCCTGAGACTTCTTCGGCGGAACCAGGGGCGACTGAGCAAAGTGGTCTGCGTCGAAGCGCACGGAGACCAGTCGAAGTGAAACGCTTCTGCTGCGAGTTTGGTTATTGTGTGGATTCGCAACATAATTAAGTGATCTTGAAGATCAGGTGGGGGTGTGGTGTTAGGTTAAGTTCGGTGCGTACCGCCCCAGCAAGCTGCCTGGGAGCGCCCGTGCGCAGCCCCGAGACTGCCTGGACTCGCCCGTGCGTCGCCCGGGGCGGGACGTGACCAGACTGGGTCGGTCGCGCGGCGCGCGGCCCGCGCCAGTGGGCTGGCGGAGTGTGCGGGGCGCGGGCGGAGTGAGCGTGACGGACTCGGACTCTGAGACGGACCGATCGCAGACGGACTGGACGGGGCCCGTCTGCAGGAGACGACTACGCGTGTGCCGGTGCGTCTACATTAGTCTTCACTCCAAGTAAGTCCCACTACTTGCGATTACACCCCTGCACGTGCGCACGTGCATTACCTCACCTTCATCGACTTAGAAAAACTCATGCACATTCAGTATCCAATCACACACTAAATTTCATTGCAATCGGTCAGTCCGTTTCTGAGATATGACAGAGGGGTGTCACGTGAGCACGTGAGCACGCGCAGAGCTACAACCTCCCCGGTGCACGGCACTCTACTTACTGGTCTCTTGCGAGGTGCCAAATTTGAGTGCAATCGGCCCAGCCCTTCTCGAGATCTGGAAGCGGCACCCTGCACGTGCGCACGTGCAATATGGGTCCCAGCTGACTTTTGCACGGCACCCTTCTCACCGGTTTCTCATCGTGTACCAAATTTGAGCGCAATCGGTCCAGCCGTTCTCGAGATCTGGAAGCGACCCCTGCACGTGCGCACGTGCAATAGCACCCCAACCATGACATACGGATATGCATTGCCCGGTGGGTGCCTACTAGTGGTGTCAATCGGTTACCGAAAATTTCGGTTACCGAAAAGATATGCTGACCGATTCGGTAATCGGTCGGTCAGGCCCCCCAAAAATCGGACACTTTCGGTCACCCTGCCAGTGAAACCATTTCCAAAAAAAGAAAGTATTCCATTTTTGCCTAGTTAAAATGAAATTTATTGGGATGTTAATGATAGAGTTGCAAAATTTCCCCCAAATGCCAAATGCCACATTTTGGCAACTTCATTAGCCAACCCACCCAGCAGGCAGCAGCCACCCATTGTCCAACCACAACTACAAGCAGGCTGATATTGACTCAGTTGGCCCCACATGTACACACAACTTTGAAACTCTATTCCAGTCTAACTGTTAAAATTTCACCTGTAATCAAAGAAGTATTGCCTACAAAAATCATTATACAGTCATCAAAAATGCAAGGACAAAAAGAACTTGAATTACTGAAATGTGTTTCTGAAGACTTGACAGTTAGCACTTAGCAGTGATCACATTTACATTTCACAGGTGTTCTACTATCCCACATTCTCCTTAAATATTGCAGGTACCAACCAAATGTTTGAAATCTAGATGACCACAACATAAAAACATAGGAATCTTGACAAAAACTACATCAGCCCATGTCCGATTTCTGGAATCTTCCACATTCCAAACACAAGGAAGGGTTTCGAAACAGATGCGCCATAACAGAGACTTTAAACCAGCTGATAAAGTTGCTGCAAAAAAAAGTTTTGGATTGTTACATGCTGCCTCGTGAATTATTTTATTGATGTAAATGATCCAACACGATATTGAATTCTAATGAAATCAACATTGTGAGTGTAATTCACTACAAGAAAATTAATTTCCCTTCAATAATTCGACCAAAAGGGCATATAAATAAATATTACGTCATCAACATACATCCTTTCGTTACGGAAGAGAGGATCTTAAAAGTCAATCCTTGGTTCTTCTATTACTTTTTGCGCCACTTTGGCGCCACTTTGTAGGTATTAATTTTGTCTGCATATTTTGTTTTCTTGTAAAGATAAGACAAACAAGAGATAAGACAAAGTGCCTGTGTAATGAATTTTCATTTCATTTTTGGGACAAAATTCAAGCTCAGAGCTACCTAATACCTGCCTTTTCAGCTGGATTTTCAGTGTCAAATTATTTGTAGAGTATCTCAGACCACATCTCAAGACTCAAGGCAAGTTTCCAAGCAGTTTTGATGTGTTTTGTGGTGTTTTGATTCCGCCTTTTCTCCTAGGGAATGTTGTCATGAACATACCTATTACCAACCATTTGACTATACTAATTGATCGTGCTTTTGCAACATGAATGAGCATTCTTCCTTACATAGACCACAGTAGATTCTTGACAATTCTAATCATTTAAATCTGTGAAATGCTGAGGTCCATGTGTTGCTACCCTCAGCAATGTAACTTCTACCACAATATGTATTTTGCAGTGGCTAAGAATTGACTGAACTTGGACTGAAATGCCATTTCCCATTATTTTCCATCAGAATTTACCAAATATTTTAATTTTGGGGTAGAGTAATAGCAAATAGAAGTTCGGTCAAATTTCGGTCAAATTTTGGCTTGGGATGTTATCGGTCGGTATTCGGTCGGAAATTTTTCCCAAATTTTGGTTTCGGTCGGTATCGGTCAGACATTTTTTGGAAAATGACATCACTAGTGCCTACTGCCTACATGAATGCCAAGTCTCAGCGAAATCGCCCCAGTAGTTGCTGAGTTACTGTAATGGGAACACATTTAACACCTCTTCTGTTTTTTGCACTTTGCACGTGCAGCGGGGGTCATTCACGTGCACCAAGAGTATCCAATGTTTGTTAGAAGGGATACAGCTACTCTACAAAAGTCACCGCAAGTCAATCGCCCCAGTGGTTACTGAGATATAGGCCTCTCAAAATTGTTACTCCAGCAGAACGACTTGAACACCCCGACTTTTCACGTGCCACGTGCCACGACGGTCACCTGAATACATCACGATAAGCGAATTGCGGGGCAGAAAGGATGGAGCTACCCAACAAAAAAGACCGCAGGTGAATCGGCCCAGCGATTGCTGAGATATCAGCCTCTCAAAAGACTGAGTAAAAATCCGTCATTAAAAATAAGAGGCCAAAGTGGCCTCTTATTTTTCGCGCCAAAAACGAGTGTCCAATCCAGGTACAGGGTGACACAAAAAAACGGTCATCACCAAAATTCGAATAACTTCGGAAATTTTATTCAGATCATCACCAAACATCGGCCACTTTAGGTCACACCTATGTAGCAGACATCCACCAAGTTTCAAGTCTTCACTACGAATACTTTTAGTACAGTGTGTGTTTTACGGACGCTCCACAATGTGCTCCAGGTGAGCGCCCCGGCGCTGCAGGGCGTAGGCACACCTGCATCCGGCGGGCAAAGTTGTCGATAACCCGATAAGAATAACGTTTCAGGGGTAGCACACCCCCTGAGCACTGTCTCCAGAGGCCATTGCACTCTGTAAAGTGCACAGCCATCGGGTTATCGACAACTTTGCCCGCCGGATGCAAGTGTGCCTACGCCCTGCAGCGCCGTGGCGCTCACCTGGAGCACATTGTGGAGCGTCAGTAAAACACACACTGTACTAAAAGTATTCGTAGTGAAGACTTAAAACTTGGTGGATGTATGCTACATAGGTGTGACGTTAAGTGGCCGAAGTTTTGTGATGATCTGAATAAAACTTCCGAAGTTATTCGAAATTTGGTGATGACCGTTTTTTTGTGTCACCCTGTAGTTCATGTTATCTATCATCATCATCATCATTGTTTATTAAACATCGCTTAAGCAGCGACAAAGCATGTACATTGTACATATAACACATCTCAAATTCGGTGATTGTCATGGCGCTAAAAGTCGTCGAGTGCGATACTGCACTGGTAGGGTAGCGGTCAGCCCAGCGGTAACTACAGAGCGAAGGTCGAGCGGGGCGCCGGACGAGAGCGCTGAAGGCTGCAATGTCAGCGTGGGCACGTGAGCAGCCTCAGCAGTCGTCGGGAAGCCTCGCAGGTTCCTTGTAAAACCAGCCGAATGCTGTCCGTTAGGCCGTTCTCCATGCGTGGGGCCCGCACTCGCTCAGGGTCCACCGGACCGCCGGCAGCCAGCTCCATGACCGCTTGGAAGTCCATGCTGCACATGTTGTAGAGCTGGTGGAGGAATGAATCCTCCAAGTCGCTGGGGCACAGGGCCAACTTCGCTAGGGAGGTAGTCATAGCCTGCTGCAGGCGATGTTGCGCTGCCATGGCCGTCCTAAATGCGGAGAATATCGCGCTCCTCAAGGACTCGCGAACCGGTGCCAGGCCGGCGGCCGCCAGAAGAGCAGAGTGGTGTGCGGTGCGGGGCAGCCCGAATGCCACCTTCACACAGTCGGCTTGCATGGCGTCCAGGCGATCCACATCAGACGGACGGAGAGGAGCCGTGTTGCACCCATACATCAGGGTAGGCAGAACAACTGTCTTCCACAAGAAAGCTTTGTCTGCTGGACAAAGACTTTTAGCCAGCATACCAGCAGGCGCTAGGCCGTAAAAGGCAGCTCGTGCTCGCTTGGCTCGCTGGTCGACGATGCCGGCAGCTCTGAGGCGAGAGTCGAGCGTCACGCCGAGGTGCTCCGACAGAGGCCGGGTCTGCAGCGGCTGACCGGACAATGCCCACGACGGTAACCGTGCCAGCCCTAGCAAAAAAGTCCTATTAGCCGTTTTCACGACGGAACTTTCGCAGAGGAACTTATTTGATACCTGAAAAGTACCTACTCTTTGAGGCCTTAACATCCCTCAAACTGAAATATTTTATGTTCAAAATAATTTTAGAAGTTTAAATCCGGGCATTCTTTGCCCTCAAATCACTTATTTATTTACAAACACAGCAATTTTCGGTTCTAGTAGCCCACCTTTCGACTATGAGGTATCAAATCAGCGTGGCAACTTGCTCCCTCTTTGCTCCCTCGGGTATCTAATTCCGGAATTCTTAAAAACAATGAAAGTATTTATCGAGTTCTCTTTTATACCTATTCAGTTATGTTTTAATGGTGATTAAAATATGGCAAATTTTTTAATTACATTTCACATAAGAAAAACACGCAAAACAATGAAACAAAAATAACTACGGTGGAAATAACCAATCAGCACCTCAGTAGGATATGACGTCATACAAGAATGGTGTTGAAGGCCGTTTGCAGTCCCGGCCGGTAGGTCACGTGACCGCCGGGAGCCTCGGGTCACGCGGCGGTCGGGAGTCGGACGCGGGACGTGGTCGCGGGTGGACGCGCGGGGCATCATGCTTTGCTTTGCTTGCTTTGTCAACTTAATATAACTTACGATCGCATACGTGTGAAACCCAAACACTGCTCAGTGCCCTTAGAAATTGAGTTTTGGAAAGCTCAAGTCCCTATAGCTCCTCAGGTCGGCAACAGTTGAAGCCTCATCTGGACTAGTGAAAAAAGCGAGGGTAAGGAACCTTGTGTTGCTTTTTCTTTTACCGTTATAAT